TCTGAACATAAAAGACTTGGACAAATGAGCCCAGGACAGGAATGACTGGAGACATTTGGCTTCTGCCTTATGCACTGGACGGTGCAGTAAGATGATGATGAAATGCCAATATGCTTAATCATTTCAGCAGGGATCAACGCAGTAAACATTCAGCTAATGCATTTGTCCATTGAGACTGGATGAATCACATACATCCTGCTAAGGAAAAAGGTTCAGCCCTTCCCACAGAGAAGGGTTAGCGAGGCAGATGATAAATATCTTTAAAACAAACTCAAAGTGAAAAGAGTGGAACGGCGCGCACTGGTTATTTTTTATTGTCCATCCCCCAACGGCACATCAAACGAGGGAGCCTAGCCTATTTACATCAGCCTGGGGAGTGCCCAGCACACCGCAGTTGATACACAATTCTCCCATACTCACGAAGGAGCTCCCAGACAAGACCCACAAAGCCACCGGTTTACCCTCCTGAAACTCACCTGTCTGTAATGCATACATCGCTGCTGTTTGGGGCAGGGACTGGTCACATACGTTGTGTTTGTACAGCACTTAACACAACAGCTTTGTGACCTTCTTGGCCTCTAAGTGCTACCACAATATAAATGTTAACATTCATAATAAAATTAACACTATCCCCCTAGCACTGGGAGAGCTATAGGAACAGATTGCATCTTTTATGGGTACTAGATAGCTGCATATTCTATTGCATATCCACACACTCATTCAACATTTGCTACAATCAAATGGGTGTGATTTAAAGGGGTGCTGGCCAAAAAGCCAGGTGCGTGAGATCACGCAGGATTTTGTGGGTTTTCAATAAAACCTGGCCAACCAGCAGCAAATTCACTAAGCTAATATTAAATTAAATACTACAACAGTGCTAGCTCAGTTGAATAAGTTAATGCTTCTTGAATGACCCAGCTTTTGTCTTGCAGTGATATCATGTAATAAAGGCTAAACACGCAAACAAACAAATAACACCTGCCCATGCAAAAATTCAACAGAATTCCTCTTTTCTTAAGGATAATCTGTCCTCCTGACATCAGTATAATTCCCCGACAGAACCTTTAGTATAAAGAGAAGGGAGCATTACTATAGGTCTACTTCTAAGGATATGAAATAATTATGGCAAGTCATTTGATTTCTTACAAAATTAATAAGCTGTTGAAGATTCCATGGCACATTTCTCAGTAGTGGGGTCCCTCATTCCCAGCCAAATTCAAGTACAGATCATTACATTCTGCCCACCTACATTTTCCATTGGATACAGGATTCTTCCTGACCTAAACTGTTGGATACTGTAATTGTACACTGTTCAGCAGCTGCTGCATTCCACCCCAGAGGTGACTACATTTTAGCACTGGAAGTGATTTCTAGGTCGTTTGTATGCCAGTGAGTAAAGTGCTTTACGATGCTGAATGGAAGAAAGATGGTTATAGGTAAAACATCAGAAATATTTGTGCACAGGAACAGAGGTTACCATCCTTCCTTTGCCAAAGCACCTGACAAAGTCTAATGAGATTTCCTCCTGCAGAGCCAGGAATCAAACCCAGTTGCAGGGTCTTAACCACATGACCCTGCTTCCTACGGGCAGTAATGGGAGGGAGCTCTCTATGGGGGAATGGAATAGAAAAGTTTTATTTAAAAAAAAACAACAACAAAAACTTGGATTTCACCAAAAACATCCCAGACTGACAAGATGTGTGACTTCCGCTGGCCCTGCTTCTGCGCAACTAATGGCCTGAAGCATAGAAGAGATTACTTTACTTACAGCTGATGAGATTAATTTAATTAATAGAAGCCTGTGGTGTCATTTAAATGATATAGCCACAAGCTCCTCAAGAACTCCAAGAGGCTGTTACCTCTCCAGCAGAACAGGCACCATCGAGCCTGCAGGCTCTTCTTTGCATAAGATGCAGAAAAGAAGCTGTGAGTGCAATTTTAAGTGGGGACGAGTTGCCTCTCGGTTGCAAATATAAAAACTAATGTGCTGCAGATTTCCCAGCAGGCTGGAAAGTGCTGAAGTATAGTGCTCCCCTAATGCTTCCCTTGATAGGGCAACTCTGTAGATCCAAATTACATTCCATTCATGTTGCTACAGTTAAACTTACAATAGAATGTTCATTATGAACCCGACTTTCAGGCGTTTACAGTTTAACCCTCAAAGCCCTCTCCAGCCTGAAACGAAAGTGGATGAGGTCTGAGGGCTGAGTGCATTGTTAGCAAACAGCAAATAAAATAAGTCGTGAGAATCCTGCTTAGTTACAGAAGGGGCTTAATTATGTCCTTAGTGGCCCAGTGTTTCCACCCCCCTGAAAAAATGTTGCAACTAACTTTCTAAATTGTTTAACAAAGGAACTGGCAGCTCCATGCTTGGGAACTGCAGGAAACCAAGCTGAATCCTATGAAACGGGGCAGGCTTGGTCTTTTCATAAGGAAGGAATCTTCCATGCACTGTACTGTTAAACAATGCTGCTCTGAAGCCAGAATGGATGGAGATTGTGCTGATAACAATCGCTGCCCACAATACTGAAGTGCCTGGATGTTTCTGCTGTAACGATCGGCAGCAGTGAAGCAGTTAAAGTTCCTATGAAGGGCCTTGTTAATCAAGCGGTTGAGGCCAGGGGTCTGTTTACCACAAATGTAAATGCTAACTGTTTGTACATACAAACTGCTCAGTAAACTCCAATCGGGCACACATGGCCAGTCTTCACACACAGCAGCAATAACTGCATCCACCAAGTAGTCACATGCTTGCATGTACAGACCTCAGTTTTCTGAAAAGCACGCACCCCATTAGACTTCAGAGTTGACAACCAACTATTACTAAAGGAGGCAAATCATGCCTCTCAGAGCTATTGTTTCAGACGTGTGTGCACAGGCTAGGGCGGGTAACACAGCAGTCATTTGGAAGACAACTAGGGCCAACCCCCCCCCCTTTTTTTTGGACTGATAGCATGAATTATAGGACACAGAGTGGCCTGGCAGAGATATGCAGATAAGTGTGGCAGCTCAATCTCACCCCTGAACTGCTGGTCTCAGGGCGAGAAAACAAAGCAGACAAACCAGTTTTCACTGTGGGGTGAAATCCTGGGTCCTCCTTCCCATAACTATAGAGTCCCTGTCTGCACAACAGCTTTTAACTGAGTTTGTAACAGTGAGTGTCACGGCTGGCTCTAAACATGGTTGGTTGCCCACATGCAAAAAGGTTATTACTCTATTAGTAACTGTGGTAGCTAATAGTGTTGTCCCATCGGCAGACTAATCTGGCACACAGCTCTCTTCTTGTAACCAGGTGGTTGCAACGTGGGCTCTATGCTTTTATTTTCCCAGAAGGCCTGATACTAACACAATCAGGCAGTGCAATGGGGTTGATAAGCAAACTCTGCTGCGTGGTGAGATAGCCTGTCGTCATAACCAGGTCAAAGGAGTATCCGGCTGCGTGTGAAATAGAACAGGGCCAGAATGCCAGAAAAACAAGCAGTTGTGCATTTCAGTTGCTCCTGTCTTTGGGTGTAGCCTGCACAACTTTCAACATGACCATAGCGAGAGGTTTCCCTTTCTGCAGATATTACAGCGGTAAGTGCTATACAAAACCCTAGGGAGGGGCAGACTGCACCTTTCAACTCTCTATCATTCCTGGACAAAGCAGCTAGATGCACAAAGCTGTAGGACGTTCAGTCACCAGCTAAAAGCTCTAATGTTCTTTCCAAAACAGATATATCTTAATCGGTGTCTTCCCTGGTCTAGAGGCAATTTATGTTAATCTAGACGGCTGAGCCTGAATGGAAGGAGAAATATCTAATGTATCTAAGGTGTGAGCGATACTGGTAGGAATGTTTAATAGTAAGGTAGAAAGAGTTAGATTCCCACTTGCCGATGGGATGACTGACTGAGGCTCCCAAATGAATGGAGCTCTTAACCTTATTAAGAGGCTTATTGTGTATTTGCCATTTGAGGCTTTCAGAGCATTCTGTGTTATTCATGCAATATCTTTCCAAATCAGCAGCCCTGTTTGACACAGTCAGTAAGCAGGCTAACAGGCTTGCTCTTAATGTCAGACTCTCTGTACTCTTTGCTTAGAAAGGATTAAGCAGCCTTATCCATGTTACCATCTCCCCTGGCTTTCAAAAATAAGAAATCTCTTCTATTCATAGCCACTTGTAATGAATATTTATACTCTCAAATCTCTATCACTGGGCTCTGTCACTGGATTATTCAATTTCATAATACTTTTAGGATAACTAAAGGGCCCTTATAATTGCTAATCTCAGCCAACAAGTAGGCAACAGATTGAAAATTCCCCAGTACATGAGCCCTGAATAGGCTTACAGATGCTGGATATGAAGAGTTTTTTCCCTCGGCAATGCAGGAATGTCCTACAAATGGCTTCTCTCCTCTCAGCGTTTGAAGAATCAATACATCATGTTCCATCATAAACCTCCATTAAGCTTTCTTTCCTCTCCCATCATTGCTGCTTCTCAGAGTGTGTGCATGAACATAAGAACAGCCATACTGGGTCAGACCAAAGGTCCATCAAGCCCAGTATCCTGTACTCTTACGGTGACCAACGGCAGGTGCCCCAAAGGGAATGAACAAACAGGTTATCATCAAGTGATCCAAGCTCTGTCATGAGCAACAAGCAGTTTCAAACTGGTTCCCTTAGTGTCTACATTTAGGCACCTAACTGCTCCCATGATCATTTAGAAGTCTAAATACATTTAGGGGTCATTTAGGTATCTACTTTTAACACCCGATTGGCAAGTTAGTCTTGGAACCAGTCATGCCACTACCAGTGTTTGTGAGGTAGCAAAACCCAAGACCACGCAGTAGGCTGTGGCTCCATGAATTGAAGTAGAACTGCTAAAGGGTGTGTGTGCGTGTCTCTGTCGGTCTGTCACAGGCCTCAGACCACTACCAGCTAAAAGAGATTCGCCTTTAATTTAACTGGTGTTAAATGCTAACCCTAGGTAAACAGCATGGATTCTAAAGGTCAAACCCACCTGGCCCTGCGACTCTAGCTTCACTTCCTCTGCAGTAGGGGGCTTAGTCAGCGGGGCCGGAGTCGTATTGCACGGATCCATCTGCTCCGTTTTCTCCACTTTCACCTTCACATCGTCCAGACTCAGGGCCGGGACCGCGGCAAGGTCCTTCTCATCCTTGTCTAGTAGGTAGCGTAGGAGCTGATGGTCCTTAGACTCCTTTTTCTTCAAGGCCTCCGGCTCCAGTTTGATTTCAGGGGTCCCCGGGATCTGACTCTGAGAGGTAGGGGTGGCGGCAGCGTTTGGCGCGGTATCCTTCTTGTCGTGCTCCATGGACAGAGTGGTGATGTCGGAGGGGCTGCCCTCCTGCAAGAGCCGGTGTAAGATCTTGTGCCGCTCTGTGAGGGAGCTATGGGAAGAGGGACACGTGTTGCCTGGAGGGTTCCCAGAGGCACCCGTGCAGGATAAGGGATCTTTGCAGCTAGTATCTGCATCAGTGTGCCGCAGCTGTTGTTCTGCCGTTGTGGCCAGGAGCTGAACCAGCTTGTGGCTGGTGGCTTGGGAGCACTTGGCGTCTCCCTCCGAGAGTCTGTCACTGGCATGTAGCAGGCCTGAGTCCAGCGGCTTGCCATCGCTCGAGCCGCTGTCAGACTGAATCATCTCGCTCAGGATGGAGGCAATCTCCTTGCTGTCTTTCGGCTCCGTTTTCACAGGCTGCATGCTGAGCCGACCGGGCGAGTTCTGGGAGCTCGGCTGCCTCAGAATGGGCGGTGGCGTGGAGTACCCCATGGGGGTGCTGGGGCCTTCGTTAAGCCCCTGCATAGAGTTTATCGGGGCATTGGGGAAAGGCCTGTTGCTGCTGCCACCGCTGCTGCAGCCACTGCTCGCCATGCCCACAGGGGAGTGCATGGTAGGCGAGAAAGGATTGCTTGGCATTCTGGGCCTTGGTACCAATCCTGGGCTAACCCGATGCCTAGGAGACATGAACTGTGCTGGGGTAATCCCTGGACTATTCATGGGAGAGCTATTGAGGTTTAAAAGGTGGTTATTGTTCTGGGGACCAGCTTGTCCCTGGCTTAAGGCAACATTGGCTCCGATCTGATTCCCAGGTGAACACCCAAAGCTTGTCTGGCCGGTGCTGGAATTGCTGCTGTGGAGGCCAGAGCCTGGCTGCTGATTTACATTGGTCGCCAACATGCCACTGTTGGATGGAGGGATGGCGGACGAGAGAGCCATGCCTTGCCCTGGGGACATGCTAGGGTGCAGCGCAGGGCTGACACGGGGAAGGGGCATTCCAGAGTTAGTGTTCTCTTGAGGAGAGAGCATGTGGTGATCCCTGGAAGAAACAAAAGACAGAGGGGGTGGGCGGTGGGGAGAGAACTCAGAAGACGACTCAACTAAATCTGTAGTACAGCTCAACTAAACTTTTCCAGCCTCTTTGGGATTAAGCTATCACATAGACACATCAGGCCTGGTAGTCTGACAGCTGCAGCTTGTAAGATACGGTGTTTTCACAGTCTTTCCTAGCCCCACCACTACACTAGGATCCCAGGAGGAAAGAGAGCATATTTCAGTAGCGTTTGTGGAGGGAGCAGCTACACTGATCTCTGTAGGTACTTCATGGATTGCGCAGCATTGTGGCAACGGAGGGGCTACAAATCTATCTCAGAAGGGAAGGTCTACTTTGGGCTGTGTGCTCTCCCATTGGCAGGAAGAGGAGAGTGCTGGGAGAATGTAATTCTTTCCCCTCCTCCATCTGGTTGCATTTCTTTAGCACATGGTAAGTTCCCCCATCTCTCCTGTTCTTTAACAACCTCTTCCTCCTGAACAAGTTTGAGTGCAAGTTCTCCGGGGCGGGGCATGAGCCTTAGCCATGCTGGTAAAGCGCCGTGTGGATTCACGGTGCTGCATAAGCATCAGACAGAACTGCCAAGCCACAGACATAGCCAAACTTTAGTGAACTTTTGCTGCCTTGGCTTTCAAACTAAGCTCCCCCAGCGCAGCGCCTAGCGGTGGGACTGCAGCCCCAAAACCAGCATGAGAGGATCACCCCAGCCACCACTGGCATAAAACCAGCGCTGTGACTCCTAAGCCGCCACCCTTCCTGCCGCTGACACTGATCCCTGACCGCACTTACAGGCTCCTAGATGCCACTGGCAGCTGATCTAGCTCACAGCAGCCTCCAGACTGTCCCTACTCCCGAGCCGTGCTGTGCACTCCCCAGCCACAGCCGAGGATCCAGGACAAGTCCCAGGCTCTGCGAGCTACCGGCGATTTCACCCCAAGTTCTGGGGACTCACCTGTCAATGATATGGATGCCCATGATGAAAGGCTGCATTTCTGGGCTTTGAGGATAGCAGAGCTTACACTTGGTGTGGGCGCTAAGTACCGTCCCGTCGCTCAGCGTGAATCTATACGACGGACTGAAGGCCGTGCCACGTGTCATCACTGGGGGGAAAACAAACCAGACGTGATCCATCCATCTGCTTAGCAATTCAGACAGGAGTCACAAAACTTTCAAGGGGAAATGTGGGGGGGTGCAGGATGGTGGGGAAGGTAGTAGGGGACGAACTTCCACCATCCCTCTGTGCGCATGCGAGGATAGCGACGCAGAATTTGCAGCCACCTTTGCACCTTCCCCTCCTCCCCCGGCCCAATTGTGCTCTGTGTATTTTAACAAGGATCCCGCCATTAGTGTGCAAACAACGGAAGTCAAAAATAATCCTCCAGTGAAGTTTTGGCAATCCAGGTAGTCTCGCTGCACTGTTCTTCACTGCCGTATGATGTTTACATCGCCATTTTCAGCTGCACTAACCCAGTGTATTGCAGTTAGGGTGACCAGATAGCAAGTGTGAAAAATCAGGACAGGTGGCAAGGGGGTAATCATAGGACTGGAAGGGACCTCAAGAGGTCATCTAATCCAGTCCCCTGCACTCATGACAGGACTAAGTATTATCTAGACCATCCTATAGGTCAGGGGTCAGCAACGTTCGGCACGCGGCTCGCCAGGGTGCTTGCCCTGGCGGGCCGGGCCAGTTTTATTTACCTGCTGACGCGGCAGGTTCGGCTGATCGTGGCCCTCACTGGCCGCGGTTCGCCGTCCCGGGCCAATGGGGGTGGCGAGAAGCCGCGGCCAGCACATCCCTCGCCCGCGTCGCTTCTCACCGCCCCCATTGGCCCAGGACGGCGAACCGCGCCAGTGGGGGCTGTGATCGGCCGAACCTGCCACGTCAGCAGGTAAATAAAACTGGCCCGGCCCGCCACGGTGCTTACCCTGGCGAGCCGCGTGCCGAACATTGCCGACCCCTGCTATAGGTAATAGGTGCTTATATAAGACAAAGCCCAGAATATCAGGACTGTCCCTATAAAATTGGGACATCTGGTCACCCTAGTTGCAGCGGGTGTTTCAGGAAGATCTGAAGGGTGGTGTGATGCAAGTTAACTTCTCAATGCTGCTTGTTATAGGCAGGGACATGGGGCACAATGTGGGCAGGAATGGCTGAGCTGTAATTGATTGCCTTATAAATGTACTTCTATTTAAATCCATTAAGCACTGTCCTTGAGCATACAGTGCTATAGCGCAGAAAGGCCAATTATTCAATCACCAGTGTACAGTACATACACAGTGTACCCTGATGAATCCAAGCCAGGTACTGAGAGCTACAACAGGATACTAACCACTGCAGCACTGGCCGAATTAAATCCTTCTCGATGCTCAGCCAACCTCCCTATGAGACATTCTGTCTTCCAGACTTCCTTTGTTAGTGTCCTCACCAACAGTGCATCAAGCTTCCATGACAAACCCCCAGAGGGAACAATATCCTAAATCACTACCACGATCAGAGGAAAACCCTTCTAAAAAAACTATCGAAAAGGAAGAGAGCTTGAAAATCAGGCATGGGACTTTGACACTGGGTCTGATGTGTGCGCATGGAGTGTGGGAGGGGGAAAAAAAAAATCACCCTCTGGTTTTAATGCAATGACTACAGTGGGTCTTTGGAAGTTTGTCTCGTTTCATTATTTGCAGAAGGGTGTGAACGAACCTCTAGCCTGGCATGACACCCATGAGTTTTGGGCCAATCATATCCCCTAAGCAAGTCACTGTAGCAGTGCTGGGATGTGAATGGCAGCTTGCTGAATGCTGTGACATCCCCAGCCAGCCTCTACAGTTGCAGGAGCCATTTCTGTGCTACTGAGCCCTTTCTGCTACTTCTTTGGCACTTTATTATTAGTGCAGAATTCCTTTTTTTCAAGAAAGCACTTATCCAGCAACAAGGATTACGCATCAGCTTCTGACTGAAGCCACCCCAGCTCAATATGCAAGGTAAAGCACAGCAAAGAGAGAAGCCTGTTACCTTCTTGAAATAGCTGTTTGGCATAAGATGGCTCTCTGCCCTGAGGCTGGAAGAAAGCATAGATGCACTTCCGCACTAAATCCTCCCAGCCAGTCCTGCCTGCGGCTCTTAGGGAACTGGTGTCAATGGAGATAATTTTACCTGGGTGGAAAGAAAATTCACATTATTCAGATACAGAAGCAGTGCAAAAGAAGTCACTTATACAGCTCTCACTCTTACCCTCCCGGTGTGGCATGTGTATAGAGGTACACACAGAGCTAGAGGCGCACATATACACCTCTACCCCGATAGAACGCTGTCCTCGGGAGCCAAAAAATCATTCCGCACTATAGGTGAAACCGCGTTATATCAAACTTGCTTTGATCCACCGGAGTGTGCAGCCCCGCCCCCCCGGAGCGCTGCTTTACCGCATTATATCCAAATTTGTGTTATATCGGGTCGCGTTATATCGGGGTAGGGGTGTACTTTGATTCGAAATGAGCTTTCACAACTAAAATTAGACGCTATACTCAAAGTTTGTACAGTGGGCTGAGCCTAGCCTAGGTTATACTGGCATAAAACTGGAGTAACATAGTCGGGAGGCCCCAAAAGATCATCAATAAAGACATCTGCATGTTACCCTCATCAACAAGACCTCTCTCTAGTCTAAATTCAGCATCACAAAAAACAGATCCATCCAACGTGACACCAGCCAGGCAATCAGGGGTAACACTAGGGATGTCCTTACACAGACCAGAAAAATGAAATACAAGCCCAAGGAGTTATCTGCCTATAGAGGATACTGAAATCCAGGCAGCTTTACTAAATGACTGACCGATTGTGGACATGAAGAGAACAATAAGAGAGGAACATGCACACAGTGCAACTTGTCTCATTCATGAATACCTAGGGGACCCACCAGAAATCGAGCATTTCTCATCCGTTCACCAGTTTTGTATTGAAACTTCACTACCCTCTGTAAAACTGTGTAATATACAAGTATCCATTTTAATTAAGGGGGAAGTATGGCTGGCTAGCTTCAAGCCAGCCATCCTTACAGACTGTTTTAGTTTAGCACCCTGTGGCACTATCTTACTGGCTGGATGAAATGCTGGGACCATGCTACATCTGCAACTACATCATCTTAACAGTTCTTGCGGAACAAAGATGCTGTTAGCCTGGAAGCATTTTGATTGCAAAGATGGCACCTACCCCAGAACAATGCTCTGCATCCCCCAGCATAAAACTCCCCGAAGCTCACTGAGAACAGTACCTGTAGTATCTTGCTTGGTCATGAAAGATTCTGAACTGGTGACAGCTGGAGGTCGAGGTAATCTCCGTGCAATGCATATCAGACAGGATTGGAAATCTGCCGTAACAGAACATGGTGGGGAGAGTGGGAAAGTGTGAGTCCAGGGTTATAGAAACCACTTACAATTCAATGTTTTAATGAAAATAGCATTGTTGTACTCGACAGCCACATCCTACTCTGGATGCCTTTACCTGGCCTGTCACCTAGGCCTTCAAAACAACAGAGCTCTCTATAAGCACTACGATGTTTGCTGGAGAGAAAAGAACTCCATTGTTTGGAGGAACTCACTGTAAGACCTTTCAGATCTGGCAGCACCACACAATAAAAGTCAGCACTGAAAGCCAACAACTGTTGGCTCCAGGGAAAGTATCTGGTCATAAAATACTGTAATTTATTCCTTCCAATCATGATCTCCTGAGTAAGCTGCAATGGATTAATTCAGTTAATGCATTGGAAAATAATGGCTGGGACACAGAAATGAGGGTTCAGGTTTTTTGCAAGAAGGCTTCTCTGCTCTACCATTTGGAGATCAGTGGCGGATACGCACTATGGCCCTGATCCTGCAATCGGATCGGTACCGGGTGACCCTTATGAGCATCAGAAGCCTGAGCAGAGGCGCACCCGTACAGATCCGACTGGGGCCTGAAACTCACTGGCAATGCAGCGCTGCAACAATTCTCAAACACTCCAGGCCCCACTGGGGGCATCAGCTAAAAGTAACAGAAATTAGAGCTAGAGAAGACCCGTTAGGCCAGGGGGAATCAATTATTTTTTGTCAAGATCCAAATTTCTTGGTCAAGGTATAGTCAAGGTACAGACGCCAGAGAAAAGAATACAAAAATAACAACAATTATGATAAGAAGTAAACAAAAAGATGTTGCAGTCTGTTCTAAAGCACCTGGCGGTCTGGATTTGGCCTGTGGTCCACCTACTGACTGCCCCTGTACTAGGGCATCGAGTCCACCCACTGGGGATCAGGGCAGGACTGTGCCGTGCAGTCTGGTCCAGTCTTACTCACCCCCAGGAGTGGGACTCCCACCATTATTCTGCAGTGACAGAGCTCCCTGTGCAGCAGCTGTTCATACCAATCAATCTACCTTTCCCTTTCCTTAATTTCTACCTAACATGCTCCATTGTGAGTTCCCCTGATGCTCGGAAGGGCAGCTTGTCCCCATCTCTGCTTAGGGAGGGAGGGTAAAGGCTTGTTGACTGGACAGCATCGATCCAGACAACAGGAAATGGATAATGTAAGAGAGTTGGAGACTGTTCTCACTGTTGGGGCAAAGGGCCGGCATGAGACCTGTGCTCCCCACTTCAGTCCCACACACTATGGTGCATAGGCCTCACTCTGGCTCTGCATGGGGGAGGGTGGGAGGGGTGTCGCCCGGTGGCAGCTTAAAGCAGCCTTGCAAATTTTTGGATTTCTGCATTGTTCAGCAGGTGAATTAAATTTCACTAGCACTTTCCATTCCCCTCCAGGTTAAGGAGGGCAAGGAGACCTTGTGCCGGTGACTTCTCTGCAAGACTGACACAGGCTTAGAGCCTCATTTCCACCAGCTCTTCCCACACGTTTCACCCCAGGCGTTTGAACACCACAGCACTGCCAACCCCTGGGGCTCGGCACAGTGCTCAGAAAGGACTTAAAGGCTCCAAATGTGGTTTAATCTGGAATAAAAAACAGAGGAGGGAGGAGAACCAATGACAAACATCAAACTCCTCTAAATGCGTTCCCACTTGCCCCGTCTGCATTTCCCACGCTGTGCCAGGCCTGTGCTGAGGAGGCCAAACCCTTGGAAGGCCCTCTGGGGAGAAGGACTTGTGCGACTGATCCTGTGCCACTGCACTGCCAGCCGTCCCAAATGCAACAGCAAACGGGGCAGGCTGAAAGTGAACTCTCCGAGACTGCTCTCGGCAAGAACTACAATCTCCTGGAAGGAAGTCCTGCATAAGGACAGTAGAGGGCAGTTCGTCCTCTCTTCCCACTCCAGCCTCCTTCCCTTCCCCAAGACGCAGCACAAAGCAATCAAGCAGGGTTTGAAATAAATGATCCTCTGCCCTACCTTCTCCTTCCTCTTTGATCGATTTGGGCTGGGACACGGTGAAGCACTGCATCACCTCATAGCGCTGGCGAGCCTCCTGGTTCTCCGCACCCAGCTCATCAGGGGGACGGATCAGCATCCGGCAGCTGAAGGTATGGCTGCTGCGTCTGGTTGCTTCCTGAGGCCAAGGAACTCCATTTACTGTGGTGAGGGAGAGGGGAAAAGAGAGACTGTCACAGACTGTGATCACAAGTGAACATTTCAAATGGTGGACGCTAAGGATCAGACTTCTCTGCCTGACCCTCATCATCAGCATTTGCTATGTGCATTTGCTAGGCACCCAGAGTAAAAGTGCTGGAAGAGTTTACAGTTGAAACAGACATGGGTGGGAGGGGGAGCAGAGTCACAGAGAGGTGAAATGACTTACCCGGAGTCACCCAGCAGGTTGGTGGCTACAAGCCGGGTCTCCTGGGTCCCAGTGCACTGCCTTACTCACTGGACCACACTATCCCTTTGACAGTGGTGTGATAACACTTTGCACTTCTATAGCTTAACATGTCCAAGGAATTCCAGGGTTGATGAATTACACCCCACACCACCACTGTGAGGTAGGTACTACAGGTATTGTTATTTCTGTGTAACAGAGGGGGAAACTGAGGCAGAGAGGTGCTCTGACTTGCCCAGCCACACAGTGAGTCAGTGGCAGGGCCAGGAATAGAACCCAGTTCTCTTGACTCCCCATCCAGTGCATCAGCCAGAAGAACCTTCTTCCCCTCCCCTCAGTCACAGCAGCAGCTGATAAATCACTCATGAGTCAGCGCGTTCCAGGACATTTCACCCGACAGGCCTGTCCCTCCAAAGATCATTCGGGTCCCCAGCACTGGCAGCTCCCTAGACCACATCTCCATCAACTTCGCTGCCACACAGCGGCTACACGGAGCCATGATCTCCTCCCTTTCAAGGAGGATTCTGAAGGCAAGTGGTCTGGCTCCCTGCAGAGCAGCTGCTGGCTGAACACAACCACTGCTGTTGAACCAGGCTCTATGAAATCAGAGTCTACTACACTGCAAGGGCAGGATATAGCCTTCCCGTCGCCCCCAGTAGAGGATGCATCTGATTTTAAAGTGATACCACTGTGTAGGTGGCGAGTACAGAAAATGCACACGCTCACATTAGGACGAGATCGAGGTCTGCCCCTACATAAATGCACAGAGGGTGGAAGTGCAAGAAGCAAGGGGGGATTACACAGAATTACTGATCACACTGACGGCATTGTGAATAAATTCCCCACCCCCAAATTTGCTCCAGCATGAAATTACCTTCTTCAAAGATCAAGAACGGTAGCTCAGCTAAAACCACCAGACTGCAAGGCAAAGGGAAAACCCTTTCCCCAGGCTAAGGAACCAGAATAGCCGCAGTGAAGCTACATAACACCAATCCAACAAGCCCTTCTCGGCACAACAAAATGCTACAATCCGTGATGTTAAACTAAGCTTACACTAAGTGAGAAAATTAACTATTGACAGCCCAAGTAAGAAGATGACTTAATAGTGCTAACAGGACTCTACACAATTACCTATAGCGAAGTAGCACCTACTGAGCACAAAAGCCAGATTTTCAAAAACATTTGTCATCCGTGATGGTTAGAATAGTTCAGTGCCAAAAACAAATGGCCAGGTTTTCCCAACATGCACTCAACATACTGAACTCTCAAAATCTGCCTGTAAGTGTTGCAGTGTGTTCCAAGCGCTTGAAAACCTGAGCCTATGTACCTGGAAAGCCTTTGGTAAGGTCCTTCACCAAAGGCTCTTAAGCAAAGTAAGCAGTCATGGGGTAAGAGGAAAGGTTCTCTCAGGGATATGATCTGGAAAAAGGGGTAAACAGTGAGGTGGCAAAGTTTGCAGACAATACAAAACTACTCAAGATAGTTAAGTCCAAAGCAGTCTGCAAACAGTTACAAAGGGATCTCACAAAACTGGGTGACTGGGCAACAAAATAGCAGATGAAATTCAGTGTTGATAAATGCAAAGTAAAGCACATTGGAAAACATAATCCCAACGCTACATACAAAATGATGGGGTCTAAATTAGCTGTTACCGCTCAAGAAAGAGTTCTTGGAGTCATTGTGGATAATTCTCTGAAAACATCTGCTCAGTGGCAGTTGAAAAGGCTAACAATGTTAGGAACCATTAGGAAAGGGATAGATAATCCCAATACATAAATGCATGATACAACCACACCTTGAATAGTGTGTGCAGTTCTCGTTGCTCCATTTCAGAAAAGATTTATTAGAAAAAGTACAGAGAAGGGAAACAAAAATGATTACGGGTATGGAACAACTTCCATATGAGGAGAGATTAAAAAGACTAGAACTGGTCAGTTTGGAAAAGAGGTGACTAAGGGGGGATATGATAGAGAAATCATGACTGATGGGAAGAAAGTGAATAAGGAAGTGTTATTTACTCCTTCACATAACACAAGAACCAATGAAATTAATAGGCAGCAGGTTTAAAACAAACAAAAGGAAGTATTGCTGCACAGAGTGCAGAGTCAACCTACGGAACTCATTGCCAGGGGATGTTGAGAAGGCCAAAACTATAACTGGATTCAAAAAAGAATTAAACAAGTTCATAAAGGACAGGTCCATCAATAGGCTATTAGCCAAGATGGTCATAGATGCAACTCCATACTGTGGGTGTCCCTAAACCTCTGACTGCTAGATGACAGGGGATGGATCACCAGATAATTGCTCTGTTCTGTTCACTGCCTGAGAAGCATCTGGCACCAGCCTGTCGGAAGACAGGATACTGGGCTGGATAGACCATTTGACTGACCCAGTATGGCCATTCTTATGCCAGAATCATGACTGGTAAGTACTGGATCCAAGGGAAGCGTTTTCTCTGTGTTATTTGTTTGATTCCCTTTTAGATAAGACTCTAGACCAGGCACTGTGAGCTCTGACAGCAACTGCTAAACAAAAAGAATGGGGAACTCACCAAACACACCAGGACATGAAACCAACATGCTGACTGAAATCTCATCCTCGTTATCATTATTTATTATTTGTATTATAATATCACCTAGACTCAACCAACTGAGATGAGCACCCCATCGTGTGAGTTACTGTGCCAACGTTAATGAATTAATCCTTGCAACACCCTTGGGAGGTAGGTACCATTACCCCCCACCTTTTACAGACAGGGAAACTGAGACACAAAGATGTGTAATGACTTTGCTCCAAGGTCACACAGTGAAAGAGTGGCAGAGCTGAGATGATTTCCTGACTCCCAGCCTTGTGCTTTCACTATCCTTAAATGGTGTTCTGAGGACTCATGCAGTGCACAGGCCTTGAGCTGGCCCTCTGCATAGGGGCACCTTTCACCCTTACTTCTCGTGAAGCGCTCACGTGGCTGATGGAAAGGCAAGTCATGCTCAAATTGCTTTCATGGTACACTGAGGCCTCCCTCTGGAATCAGTCAAAGTAACTGCTAATTGTGCTATTTACAGTTCGATACAGCACCTACTGCAGAGCCTATGGTGGCCTGCTTGCAGTCTATCACATAGCAATGAAAAAGCTTCCAAAGTTTTTTTCCTGGAAGTGGTTCAATCATAGGGACACATTCTGGATTTCCATAGTTACAGTCGTGTCAATGGTTTTATCATCAACCACTATTTTAGCTGGGTTATAACTCAGCTGTAAAAATTCACTGTAGTCTAAGACCCGGCAATTTAACTCCTAGCTCAGGTCCAACTGGAAAAAAATAAAACAAAACAAAAACAAAACACACATCACACATGAGAAAAACTTATCTAGCTGTTTTGGCATGTAGGTGATTTAGCTTAAATTAATTCCTTACCAAATTAAGCTAAATCCATATAAGGCAGGTTTAAACCAATTAAAAGCATCCCCACAGGGGATGGCCCCACAATATGCCAACATTTTTATGGCTGACTTAGAACAACGCTTCCTTAGCTCTCGTCCCCTAACGCCCCT